AAAAAAGCCAGAAGTGGCGCTGTGGCTCAAGTGGTAGAGCGCTAGCCTTGAGCTAAAGAGCTGAGGGACAGCGCCCAGACCCAGAGTTCAGGCCCTATAACCGGACCCCCAAAAACACACATACACACACAAACACACACACACACATACACACACACACACACACACACAAAAGAATGGAAACAATGATGCACAACTGTAATCCTAACACTCAAAAGACTGAAACAAAAAGATCATGGCTTTTGAGGTCAACCTAAACAACATAGTGAGACCCTGTATCAAAACAGATATGATATTAGGTGCTTGCCAGGATGTGGAAACTTGAGCTTTATGTGTGGTTGATAAGAATGTAGGCTGGCCTATAATCCTAGCTACTCTGGATCACGGTTCAAAGCCAGCCTGGGCAGGAAAGGCTGTGAGACTCTTTTCTTTTTTTTTTGGTCACTCATGGGGCTTGAACCCTAGGCCTGGGTGCTGTCCCTCAGCTCTTTAGCTCAAGGCTAGCGCTCTACTATTTGAGCCACAGCGCCACTTCCAGCTTTTTCTGTTTATGTGGTGCTGAGGAAGAGAACCCAGGGCCTTATGCATGCAAGGCAAGTACTCTACCATTGAGCCACCTTCTCAGCCCTTTTTTTTTTTAAAAAATAGGTCATAGGGCTTGAACTCTGGGACTGGGCACTGTCCCTGAGCTCTTCAACTCAAGATGAGTACTCTACTACCAGAAACACAGCACTACTTCTGTTTTTTTAAGTGGTTTAGTGAAGATAAGAGTCTCACAGACTTTTCTGCCCAGGCTGGCTTTGAATCATGATGCTCAGATCTCAGCCTCCTGAGTAGCTAGGATTACAGGTGTGAGCCACCAGTACCTGGCTAGTCTGACTTTTTGATGGTTAACTGGTGATGGAGTCTCATGGACTTTCTGCCCAAGCTAGCTTCAAACCACAATCTTCCAATTATATATAGCTAGGACCAATTATAGTCATGAGCCACAAGGGCCCAGCTGTCATTCATTGCTTGTTTGGTTTTCTTTTTTTTTTTGGTCAGAGACAGGGACTTGAACTCAGTATCTAATACTTTCGCTCATTGGCTGATGCTCTGAGCCACTTCTCCAACCCGAACATTTATCAACATTTACATATATATATATATATATAAATTTTAAAATATATATGTTTTTATTCCCCACCCCCGGTTGTGGGGCTTGAACTCTGGTCTGGGCCTGGGCACTGTCCCTGTACTCTTCAGCTCAAGGAGAGGGCTCTATCACTTGAAACACAGTGCCATTTCCTGTTTTCTAGTGGTTTATTGGAGATAAGAGTCTCACAGACTTTCCTTCCCGGGTTGGCTTTGAACCATGATCCACAGAACTCAGCCTCTTGGGTAGATAGGATTATAGGCATGAGCCACCAGCACCTGGCCCAACATATATTTTTTGAAAACACACATTACTTTTAAACTGCGTGCCTACATCAGCTTGATAAAAATTACTTTTATTAGATTAGCACAGTACACATGAAGATTCTTATGGTACGTTCTTGCTATGATTTCTAAATCTTTTCATCCTTACCTTCTTCCCACCTGGCTTCTCTAGAGTGAAAACTTCACTCCATATCTGAATTCCAGTGGTTTCTGGGTCAGAGCCTCCTCTCCACGAAAATCCTGTTAATGGTTCTTCTGGGTCACCCAACCAGTTTAAATGGCCACCTTCCTTCTACAGAAGAAATGAGACACACTCACTAAACCCTTGGCACTTGTTTTTTGTGAAGTACTAGCTATCAAACCACACTTCAAGCATGGTAAGCTCCAAAACAAAGCTACATTCCCAGCTCCCACATTAAATCTTTTTTTTTTTTTTAATTTTTAAGCAGTTGTACACAGGAGTTGCCATTCAACAAAGCAGTTTATGAATACCATGTATCTGGTCAATGTTACCCCTTTGAACTTTCTTTTTTTTTTTTTGGGTCCGGTCGTGGGCCTGAACTCTGGGCCTGGGCACTGTCCCTCAGCAATTCAGCTCAAGGCTAGCGTTCTACCACTTGAGCCACAATGCCACTTCCAGCTTTTTTTTCTGCTTATGTGGTGCTGAGGAATAGAACCCAGGGCCTCATGCATGCAATACAAGCACTCTACCACTGAGCCACCTTCCCAGCCCCCTCTTTTCTTCTTTTTCTGCCAGTCTTGGACCTTGAACTCTGGGCCTGGGTGTTATCCCTAAGCTCCTTTTATTCAAGGCTAGACCTCTACCATTTGAGTTACAGAACCACTTCTGGCTTTTTCTGTGATTAATTGGAGGTAAGAGTTTCTTGCCCTGGCTAGCTTCTGGCTTCAAACCGCAATCCTCAGATCTCACCCTCTTGAGTAGCTAGGATTACAGGAATGAGCCACTAGCACCTGGCTGTTTTTTGCTCTTTTCTACCTTGTAACAAACTCATTCTTCCTTACCTGAGAATACAAGTATCGCAGCATGAAGTCCAGAATAAAGGATTTGCCCTTTCGGAAGGCACCAGCCACTGACACCACCACCACATCAAGATCTCGAATGTGTTCCTGTAGAAGGATGCTAGCCAAAGCTTTCTCTTCTAGCTCAAAGGAATGTTGTTCTTTGTGAACCAAAACAACCTGCACTGGACCAGGCTTTCTGTTTTCCATGGCATCACCTGTCAATGTGGGAAGAAAAAAAAAATTCAAAAATATTTCTTATTTTGGTGGTATTGGGGTTTGACTTAGGGCTTTGCATTTGTTAGGCAGGGGCTCTACCATTTGAGCCACATCCCTCATCCCTTTTTGCTTTATTTTTCTGAAAGGGTCTCAAGCCTTTTGCCCCAGCAGGTCTGGACAATTCTCTTACTCATGCTTTCTACAAAGCTGAGGTAACAGGCAATATTTCCATGCCCAACTATTGTGTTGAGGTCAGGTCTTGCTTCCTGCTAGGGCTAACTACAATCCTCTGATCTCTGTCTCCTGTGTAGCCAGTTTCATACATTTTATCCAGCTAGTTTTGAACATTTTATGTACTTAACATTTTCTATATACTCAACAGTATACAAACACACACACAGTTTTTGGTGGTGGTGGTACTAATATTTGAACTCAGGGCCTTGTGCTCACTCAACTTGTTTGCTCAACTGGCACTCAACCATTTAAGCCACTGATTCCAGTCATGCTTTTTGCTAATTATTTTGGAGACAACAGTTTCAAGGACTTTCCTGCCTAGACTAGAACAATCTTCTAAACCTCAGCCTGCTAAATAGTGAGGATTACAGACCTAAATCATCAGCATATGGATTACATTATTTTTAAACATGGAAAAAGCAAAAACCTTCTTTTATTTAAATTACTATAAATGTGGTATACAAAGGGGTTAAGAAAAGTAATGAGTATATTTCTTTTTGGACAATGTAACCCCCTCCCCTCTCTGTTTTTCTCTCTTGTACTCACCTACAAGTTGTATAATTAGTAAGTACCACTGCTGCATTTGTTCACCTTTTGTCCCTCCATTTTTGTGCCTGCCCCTTGCCTTCCCAAAGACAGATAAACAAACAAGACAAAAAGAAAACAACAACAAAAGGAAAAACCTTGTTTCCATTTCCCGGAGTTCATTTTGATTAAGAAAAACCTTTTTAAATAGAGCACAAATACACTATTAAAGGGGGAAAATACAAATTAGACTTCATTAAAATTAAAAATATCTTTTCATTATAAGATGCCAATGATGGTCTGGAGTTCCTCAAAAAAAATGAAACATAGATCTTCTCTACAACCCAGCCATACCACTCTTGGACATCTACCCAGAATGTCATAAGCCAGGATACCATAAAGACGCTTGTACATCCATATGTACTTCAGCACTATTCACCATAGCCAAGTTGTGGAAACATCCCAGGTGCCCTACAATAGATGATCAAAAAACTGTGGCACTTATACACAACAGAATTTTGTACAGCCATTAAAATAATACGTCATTTGCAGGGAAACGAATGGACCTAGGAAAAATCATGTAAAGTGACCTAAGTCAAGCTCAGAAACACACATCTTTTCTTTTATATGTGAAAGCTAGATATAAAATACAAAATAAATTGGTTTCTAGGCATTCATACACTCTAAGACTAAAGGAAAATACTTTTTTTTTTCCCATGGGCCTGGGTGCTGTCCCAGAGCTCTTCAGCTCAAGGTTAGAACTCTATCATTTTATGGTGGGCGCTGATGGCTCATGCCTGTAATCCTAGCTACTCAGGAGGCTGAGATTTGAGGATCACAGTTCAAAGCCAGCCCGGGCAGGAAAGACCGTGAGACTTCTATCTCCAATAAACCACTAGAAAACCAGAAATGGAGCTGTGGCTCAAGTGATAGAGCACTCGCCTTCAGCTGAAGAGCTGAGGGGCAGCACCCAGGCCCAGAGTTCAAGCCCCACGACCAACAACAACAACAAAAAAACTCTACCACTTTGAGCCACAGCACCACTTCCAGTCTTCTGGTGGTCAATTGGAGATAAGAGTCTCACCAACTTTTCTGCCCCGGCTGGCTTTGAACTGTGATCCTCAGATCTCAGCCTCCTGAGTAACTAGGATTACAGACGTAAGCCACCAGGGCCCGGCCAGCAAGGAAAATACTCTCAAGGGAGGAACCCAAAGGCACAACACCTCTGGAATATTAAGATTTTTATTTATCAAAATGAATTCCAGAAAATAGAAACAAGGTTGCTTGTTTTTCCTCTTTGTTTATTTCTTGTTTTTTTTTGTCCTGCTTGTTTATCTATCTTTTGGGGGGAGTGAGGGAGGACATAGAAATGGAGGAACAAAGAGTGAACAAATGCAGCTGTGGTACTCAGTAGATACTATGCTGAAAATTAACTATACAATGTGTGAGTAAGAGCCAGAAGGGGAAGAAGAGAAAGCAAAGGAAGACAATGAAAGAAAAGAAAGCAAAGATAACAATGAGTAAAAAGGCAAGCTATAGGTTCAGAGAAAATGTTCACAATACCTATTTCCAAAGGACTCACATCCAGAATTAATATAGAAATCCCCAAGAGGAGCTAGAAGGGTGGCTCAGTGGCAGAGTGCTTTCCTTGCATGCAAGGTTCGATTCCTTGGGTTCAATTCCTCAGCACCACATAAGCAGAAAAAAGCTGGAAATGACGTTATGGCTCAAGTGGTAGAGCACTAGCTTTGAGCTGAAATGCTGAGGGACAGCGCCCAGGCAGAAAGTTCAGGCCCCAGGACCGACAAAAAAAAAAAAGAAGAAATCCCCAAGAGTCAGGCACCAGTGGCTCATGCTGAGATCTGAGGATCATGATTCAAAGACAGCCTGTAAGCTGGGAAGATGGCTCAGTGGTAGAGTGCTTGCCTTGCATACATGAGACCCTGAATTCGATTCCTCAGCACCACATAAGCAGAAAAAGCCAGAGGTGGCACTGTGGGTCACGTGGTAAAGCACTAGCCTTGAGCTGAAGAGCTGAGGGGCAGAGCCCAGAGTTCAGGCCCCATGACTGACCAAAAAAAAAAGAAAGGGGAGGGGCTGGGAAGGTGGCTCAGTGATAGAGTGCTTGCCTTGCATGCCTCAGGCCCTGGGTTCGGTTCCTCAGCACCACATAAGCAAAAAGAAAAAAGCCGGAAGTGGCGCTGTGGCTCAAGTGGTAGAGAGCCTTGAGCTGAAGAGCTGAGGGACAGCGCCCAGGCCCAGAGTTCAGGCCCCACGACCCAAAAAAAAAAAAAAAAAAGCTGGAAGTAGTGCTGTGGCTCAAGTAGTAGAGTGCTAGCCTTGAGCTGAAGAGCTGAGTGACAGCGCCCAGGCCCAGAGTTCAGGCCCCACGACCAGACCCAAAAAACAAAAACAAAAACAAAAAACAAAGACAGCCTGTAAGACTCTTATCTCCAATAAACCACCAGAAAACCAGAAGTGGCACAGTGGCTCAAGTAGTAGAGTGCTAGAAGTGGTAGAGTGAGCTGAAGAGCTGAGGGACAGCACCCAGGCCCAGGGTTCAGGCCCCACACCAACAAAAAACAAAAAACAAATCCCCAAGAAACAAATAAGCATTCCAAGTTTTAAAACAATGACAGCCAGGAGCCAGTGGTTCACACCTGTAATCCTAACTATTCAGCAGACTGAGATCAAGGATCAAGGTTCCAAGCCAGCCCAGACAGGAGTCTGTGAGACTCTTATCTCTAGTTAGCCATGAAAAAGCTGGAAGTAGAGCAGTAGTTCAAGTGATAGAGCACTGTCCTACAGTAAAAAAGCTAAAGGAAAACACCTAGGCCTTGAGTTCAAGTCCCAGTACTGGCTCAAAAATAAGTAAATAACAATGAACAAAGACTATGGATGGGTACTTGGTCAATAAAGAAGATCCAATGGTCAAGAATCATACATAAAGAGCCAGGCAACAGTGGCTCACAACTGTAATCCTAGCTACTTAGGAGACCGAGATTTGAGGATCACGGTTCAAAAGCCAGCCCGGGCAGGAAAATCTGTGAGTCTCTTATCTTCAATAAACCATCAGAAAACCAGAAGTAACACTGTGACTCAAGTGGTAGAGCACTAGCCTTGAGCTGAAGAGCTGAGAGACAGTGCCCAGGACCAGAGTTCAAGCCCCATGACTGACCAAAAAAAAAAAAACACTAAAGCCACCAATGAGGGCTGGGAAGGGACTCAGTGGTACAGCGCTTACCTTGCATGCCTGAGTCCCTGGGTTCGATTCCTCAGCACCACATAAGCAAAAAGAAAAAAGCCGGAAGTGGCGCTGTGGCTCAAGTGGTAGAGAGCTAGCCTTGAGCTGAAGAGCTGAGGGACAGTGCCCAGGCCCAGAGTTCAAGCCCAATGACTGGACCCAAAAAAAAAAAAAAAAAGCCACCAATGAGTAACAGCACAGCACAACAGATAAAATTTTAAAGACTGACAATATCAACTGTAGGAGAGGAAATAGAGCAGATACAATTGTTATGCATTCTTATTGCAGCATAAAATCATGAGTACCTAGAAAGAGGGAGAAAGGGAAGGGAGAAAGGAAAGGAAGGAAGGAGAGAGGAAGGAAGGGAAGGAGGGAGGGAGGGAGGGAGGGAGGGGAGGAAAAGGAGGAAGGAGGAGGGAGGTAGAAAGGAGGGAGGAACTCAAGGCCAAGATGTCCTTTAATTTTATTGTTGTTGTTGGTCCTGGGGCTTGAACTCTGGGCTTGGGCACTATCCTTGTGCTCTTCAGCTCAAGGCAAATGCTCTACCGCTTGAGCCACAGCACCACTTGCAGTTTTCTAGTGGTTTATTGGAGATAAAGAGTCTCATGAACTTTCCTGCCCGAGCTGGCTTTGAACTGTGATCCTCAGATCTCAGCCTCCTGAGTAGCTAGGATTACAGGCGTGAGCCACCGGCGCCTGGCTTTCCTTTAGCTTTTTAGCTCAAGGCTGCCCCTCTACCACTTGAGCTACAGCTCCATTTCAAGCTTCACGGTAATTAATTAGAGATAAGAGTCTCAAGGACTTTCTTCTCTGGGCTGGCTTAGAACCAAGAACCTCAAGCTGGTGCCAGTGGCTCATGCCCATAATCCTAGCCACTCAGGAGGATGAGATCTGAGGATCACGGTTCAAAGCCAGACTGGTCAGGAAAGTCCTGAGACTCTTATCGCCAATTAACCACCAGAAAACTGGAAGTGGCGCTGTGGATCAAGTGGCAGA